ATAAGGTATTCTCACTCAATACATAAGGATGCTTCGTGAGCACTACGACAACCGCACGACCACAATTTTGCCATTATATAAAGGAGTCATTATAAACGTAAAGAGAGGGGTCATCCGGAATGGGATGATTTGGGATTGTGGGTCTACGGCCGCTACTTACATCACTTCCGCTTTGCAGACGACATCGCGCTTATAACGCAGAATATCGAGCTGACTAGAATGACGTTCAGGAAGAACGGAGTGGTACCTGAACGCAGCACAGCATAAAAGTATCGTGGGAGTATTGAAAAGACAAAGAACAGTTCCGTGCTCAAGTTTTCGAACACTGTTGTCTTTCCTGCTTTGACCTAAGCCTCGAAGACTTGTACTCCACGAAAGCAGGATGAACACGCTTTAGCGTTATTCAACACGCATTGGAAAGGACGATGCTCGGAATTCCCCTATACACGCAAGTGCAGAAGGGCCAACGCGCTTCGGAAAGGGCGATGCTCGGAATTTCCCTATACACGCAAGTGCAGAAGGGAAATCCGAGTTCCGAGCTCCGTCGACGGACGAAGATCAGGGACGCCGTTGATTACGCCAAGAGATCGAAGATCAGGTGGGCNTTGACCTAAGCCTCGAAGACTTGTACTCCACGAAAGCAGGATGAACACGCTTTAGCGTTATTCAACACGCATTGGAAAGGACGATGCTCGGAATTCCCCTATACACGCAAGTGCAGAAGGGAATACGTAGTTCCAAACTCCGTCAACAAACGAAGATCGGCGATACCATGATGACCAGGACGTTTACTGAACCGATCCCTTGGGATGTTAAACGAACACCAGGACGACCATGGTGACGATGGTAAGACTTCTTCACGGAAGCTCTGAACGAAAGGAATGCTGTGTCTCGTGCCCCTGAAGCGAGGACGATTTAGTGGACCAAAATGGCTCCCAACAGGGACGAATTTACCCGTTACTGGAGCCTGCTCAAGTGAATCGATGACCTGGGACGACAGGTGATACAGATGATGACCTTTACCAAGAAGAAGCTGACGCAAGAAGTAGTAAACTTACCCTACTCGAAAAGTGTATTTAGAGTTCCTGATTTACTATGCTAAAAAATTACCTTTTTGTAGAACTATACATAGAGTGAAGTTGTCACATAATGGCCTTCAATTTTACACCAGCCACTCAAACATGCCTGCATGCGAAACTGTAATTAAAATTAGAGCGCCCTTAAGGTGACGGAAATTTTTTGTAAGATTACCTGAATCATCTACTCTCCTGTTGGTCATCAATTTCCTCGAGCAGGCACTAGCAACGTCTCCGTTCCTCCTTGACGCGACACAGTGTGGTCCTCTCCTGAATCTACTTGCTCGAGACAAATGAAAAGTATCGTTAATTCCGTTCCTTTCCTTTCGTAAAAAAGCGTGACCGTCGAGCTGGCGGCCGTCCTAGTGTTCGCTTGACGTCCTGAGGGATGAGCAACGGCGTCCCTGACCTTCGGCTGTTGTTGGAGCTCGAAACTCCTGATTTGCTTCTGCAAGCGTTTTGCAGGGAAATTTCGAGTATTGTCCTTTCCGGAGCGCACTGAATGACGCTGACTGCATGTTCATCCTACTTTTGTAGAGTCTAGGTATCTCGAATGTTCACTCGCCGCGCGTTTCCTTCTGCTTAAAGCTAGGTCCATCATCATGTTGACATATTGACCTAGATACATGTAGCCAAAGCTTACAATATGTTCGTTCCACTTAGCGTAAAGGGAGCATCCGGCACCAATACGGTTTTCGTGAGAGCATCGTCTCCATTAAGTTCTGTCTTCAGTCCACTTTTCCACAAGCGCTGTAGAACTCGGACAACATTGGCTCCGCCTGCACGATTTTCCATGTATAAGGAAAATATCTTTTGCAAAGTCCAGATGGTGTAGCAAGCGGCCACCAATCCCCACGTCCAAATTTTCCTATTCCGAATGACGCATGATATTCTTGAGAGCTGCACTGAAAAGTTTGGTATTGATGGGGTATTTAAACGAAATTTGTGTAATTGCGTAAAGACCTGGCTATAGTAAGCAGATAGTGCCTTCCACCGTCAATATATGTGCTCCACCATGAAAGATGCAGCCTCTACAACGACATCAAAACACTTCCGCCCTTGGGTTTGGACGTCAGTTAAGCTAGCCTTCAAGCCCATATTGCTCCCTACCTATCTAGGCCGTTTTTCGACATGAGGGCAACTCATATAGAATACATGGGGAATACAGGTTCGTCTTAGTTGGAAACCACAAAAACCATTTCAATTGTGAACTGTCCTTCGGACTTCACCTTTTGTTTCCTTTCAACATTTGAACACTCTCATCTTATTCCTACTCGGTATCCAAGGAGCTCTCGATTTTTCTAACCTGAATGGCCATTCATTAGTCAACAGATCGTCGACCGGCTAAATAGAGTGATAGCAGATGTGGCAGTGTTAGCGGGTATAGCAGCTACTGCTACGATACTTACAATAATTTGTTCTGTTCAGACGCAACAATAAATGCACTAGCACTCATCTGTCGAGAGAGGATCGACCACCTACTATCGGAAGTGATCTATGCGCACTTTTGACATCGTTACGTTCTCCTCCCCATTCGACGTCTTCTGTCACTACTGATACGTTTCTCTTCACCTGCGCCCTCTCTCACAGCTTGCTAGTCCCTTCCTTTCTTTTCATTCAATATAATAAACCGCCGTTTATTACTAGCTATTTCTTTCTCCACATTTTCCTCCTTCTATACTTTCGCAACGCTCTACCCAATCTTTCTCTTCTTGTCGAACTCTAAACCTCCTTAATGTGATCTTTGTCAGCTAGCTACACTTTCCGTTCCCAGTATGTAGATTTCCGACTTTCCAATCACGTTTTTGCGACGAACTCCTACATCAACACCAATCCGACAGTAACATTGGTAATGGCCCCAATTTTTATAACGTTAACGAATGTTAGTCTTAAGGTAAAGCTTGAAACTCTGAAGAGCAGAAAGCAGAAGTACCACATATGGCTTTTACTTAAGTAGCCCAGTTAGAATGTGAACAATCGAAAATTCACCGGGACGCATGTATGGAGCATTGGAACCCTCTTCAGGCACACCGCAACACAAATATGATTTAGAAATTTATTGTGGCTCATAATAAAAACAATAATAAATAATACGATTGTGATATAAATCTCGTTTCAATTTACACTTCAGGGTAAGGACTTAACGTATCCAAGATCAATGGTGCCCTTGCGATGGCGCGCGCTAATTGGACGCGGGCGTCAGTGGGCGCACGATGCTGCTTGGGCGGTTAGCCGCATCGGATACCCGAAGACGCCGGCGTTCACCATCGCTCCAATAAAACCACACAATCATCATGAGACATTATCAACAACAACAATGTAATAATTATGAAAATGGCTAGCGTGTGGTTACAGCCTAGTTGAAGATGAGAGAGATAGAGACCACCGAAGACATGCACTCGTGAACGCATCTACCACAACAACGACGAATAAGGAGGGAAGGGGTGGATGGGGGATTGAGTGGGTGGAAAGAATATTGAAAGGGAAAGTAGATTTCTTGATAAATGGAGCACTTCGCTGTATATTCTACTGGACGTTTACGGTACTACGTAGGTAAACGATAAGTGATTTGAGCAAGCGCTACGAGTCCCAAACACACACACGTAGCGACGCGAACGTAACGCGTGCGTGCAACGAGTCACGCAATAATCAATCGATAGTTATGATAATGAGAAATAATGTACACGCGAGCACGAGAGACGACAAAAATAGAGGGGGATTGGGAAAAAGATAAAATGAGGAACGATGATGATGATGATGATGATGATGATGATGCACCCCACCTTCACATTACTATTACTACATGAAATACATATGAAGAAGGGAATAGAGCGAAAAAGATTGAATACACGACGAGAAAGAAAAATATGTTTAAACGAGACGAACACACACTGACACACATAGATGCTTTGCGACCTGTGCACACACTGTGTCGAAGAAAGTAGGAAAAGAATAAAATGCATGATTGTAGCTGAACTAGAAACGACGGAGGAGAAGATAAAACTTATGCACATCATTCATGTGCATACAATTATAATAAAAAAGAAAAATCAATCAATACACAACGTAACAAGTACACCTCGCAATGATGTCAAACCGAAAGCTGCCTAAAAGTATGAGCGGATTCTTGATTAGGGGACAGTTCACTTCTGTTATGGGGCCAGAAATGTACGACGAGGGGATTAAAATGATGAGTTATAGCAGAACCAAGACAACCAATCAGTAATACTACGCCGGAGGTACATGGGGATAAAACGAATTGGACCCGGCGGACCCTCAAATGAGAACAACAAACACAAACACACGCACATATGCACTAGAAGTTTGCTTTTGTACACGTAACCCTTATAATACAGACAATGATGGACGGTGGGTAGATGAGGTGATCACGACCGACGCTGCATGCGTCTGGATGACAACGACGACGGAGGACGAGGATTCAGAAGCAGAATATGAGAACAACGACAACAACATAATGCTCTAACAGGCAACAGACGACCTGCGCCCGCGCCTCTCTATATCACAGTACTGAAACGAGTAGTTGCTCACTAATGGATCACCATGACTGGAAAGGCTAGCTCGTGTTCCTGTATGATGAAGGAAATACGAGGAGATACACGTACTCGGCAGATAACGACGATGATGATTATGATGATGACTGAGACTACTACAGTAGATTCTGCGGTTTTAGATCTCCATGTCACCGAAATTGCCCTGGCTGATCCGGTTGGCCGGCTTGTTGTGGTGGCAACATTGGTGACGATCCCATGCCCATTGATGGTGATCGACCCTGTAAACAAACTTCGGGTATTTGATTCAGATTAAATAGCATTGGCCGCGGAAGAAGAAATAGGTCAAAGTTAGAATGACTTTCGTCAATGAGGGCGAATTTCACTGCTCAGGCCACTGGACGCAGTAAAAACTTCAGAAATCCTTACTCACTTGACCAACGCCAAACTGCTGTCCAGAAATCGCCGGCGATTGACCCTGCTGTTGCCGTTGCTGATGGTATTGTTGCTGCTGTTGCCATCCTCCAGGTCCCATCGGAGCAAATTGATTACCAGATCCTCGAACACCTCCCTGAGGAGGTGGACCGCCATAGTAACCGGGTTGTGGACCTCCCGGCCCCATGTTCGACGGCCAGCTGCCTCCTACCATCTGAAAAACACCTCATCAGAACTCTACAACCTATCCAAAAATTTAGTTCAATCATCTAGCTCATCAATCATCTAGCTCACTTCGCTGTTAGGTTTCATTTTGATGAACGCGGCAAACAAATGCGGCGTTTTCTTCAATTCTTGGAAAGCCGATTGTTTCTCTTCGTCCGTCTTTGCCATTTTGAATCGATTCACCACCTGTGCCATGGCTGGGTCTGTGAGGGCTGGATTGCCCTGCTGTTGTTGTGGAGGGGGTTGCTGCTGTTGTTGCTGCATCGGGGCTCCACCACCTTCTGAAAAATCCTCTCCTTAATCACGATTGGTGATACATGTTTTACTCAGAATGACGAGGAATAATTTCATTTCCCACAGCATGCATCTAAACACAGGACTTACGGTTCCTCATTTGACCCATTCCTGGATGCATTGACATTCCTGGTTGCATCATTGATGGCGTGTTGAAGCCGACCATTGGTGTTGGTGCTCTGAAGTGACTTAGATTCAAAAGGCGCTAACCTGTTACCTGTGAGAATTCAAGGTCCCCAAAAATTTTGAAAAGTGTTTGACCGATACTCAGATCACTACGCAAACCCAATACCTTCGATTCAATGGAAAATCACACTCGAATAGAAAAAAAAATTGCACTTCTTACGATTTGATCAACTATGCTCTACAATTCTTTCTAGAAAAACGCATTTCCCATCAAAATTGCTTCATCAAAGTTAAGTGAATTCACCAGTCTTTCAAGAATTAAGGGGGTGAACTGAGAACTTCAATTCAATGATATATAACATCAACTGAAGGTACCATTTGCCAAAGTTATGCCTAGTGGCAGAAAATGCACTCATACTTAGCCCATTATACATACTGGAAAACAAGAAACATTTCACTCACCTGTACGGTGGTGGCGGTTGCCCTCCAGCGCCTCGGCCACCAGGCGGCATCGGCTGGCCACCTGGATGCTGGCCTGGGCGCATGCCTCCCATCATAGCCATTTGTTGTTGCTGTTGCTGTTGCTGCTGTTGTTGATGTTGCATTGGATTATACATATTTGATGCACCCATCGGTCCTCCCATTCCACCGCCACCCATGCCTTGTCCCATTTGGGGCATGCCACCAGGTGGTTGTTGCTGTTGCTGCTGTGGTGGCATCATGCCCGATGCTGAAATAAAGTATATCCTAGAAGATAATGGGTCCGTAAATGTTCAGGTCCAACAACAACTTACACATGAATCCACCTCGCTGTTGTTGTGGAGGCTGTCCAGGTTGCGGATGTGATGGCATTGATGACATCGTCTGCACTTGAGTCAACGGGCTCGGACCGGGGATACCACCCTGAATGATCCACTCATTAGAGATATGACAAAACAACTATTTGAATTACCTATTACAATTTTCATAGATTGTGCAGAGACTTACTTTCATGTGCGTTCCAGCAAATGGTTTATTATCTGGAGGTGGCGTTGGTACCGATGTCCCGCCAGTTACGCTAACAGCTGAGGAGCTGGACGAAGTTGGACCTGAAGAGAGCCTTGATTTCGTGATGGAGGATTCAAGTAAAGTCACTAGAAAGCTTTCTCTCAGCAGTCAATAAACGGTGGGAAGCTCCAGTTTGTCCAGAAAGGTAACTTCGCTGACTGAGGTTCCCCGATCATTCATTCTCCCTCAAACAAAAAGGAGAAGCAAAATACTAATGTCACTAGAAACTCCGCTCATTTTAAATGTAAGGACGACTCGGCTTATGTTCACTCGTGGCAATAACCCTTATATGGTAACCCGAGAGCTATAACCTTATTTGATTGAGCTCCAGCAACCACCCAAATTGAACAGGACACTGCCATTGCCTTATAGAGCTTGGTTCGTTGTAAGTATAGGGATATGATAATAAATGTGAGTCCTCCACTCACCTCCAGTGACAGCCTGAAGACCATCGATACGTCGTCGCATCATCATATCGGCACGTCTGGCTATCGAACGCTTCTGTTCGGCCAATTTTTGACGAATGTTCATACAGAAAGGCACCTAAACAGAATTGAACATTAGAGCGGCGCTCCAGGTAGAACCGCTGAGAATGGAAAGTGAGAATGCTCACCGAACACGAATCTCGAGAACAATGTTTCGCATGATAACAGCACAAGGCGATCAGCTGTTTGCACACTGGACAACTGGCATTCACTCGTTTCTTGCACATCTTCGTATGTTGTACTACCCGCTTCATCTTGTGACAAGAGACACGACGACAGTTCGCGTCTCTGCACTGGCACGCGTGGACCAACGACAAAATGCAGCGCTATAAACGTTACGATGAAGTTACTTCGTGATAAGTCAGTCATGGCCTTGAGCGATTCCTGTTGGAACTTCCGCCAAACCTACCTGAATGCTTTCGAAGCGGTTGTTGCCACCAGAATCGCCACTTTCGGCACCGATGAGCGGTTTGATTTGCTCCATTGGATGTTCGTGTGAAACGGATTCACGACAGGTCTCGCAGAGATCAAAGTCCTGAATATATAAAATATAGAAACCACTGTAAAAAGTGAAGTTAGGAAGGGGGTAGAGGGGGGCGATTGTCAGAAAGGAGGGCGACGTCTTCTGACGAAGCCTAAGAAGGGAGGAGCAGCGAATGGATAATATGCCAATATCCATCAAAAAGGCAAGGGGAGGAGACTGATCATTCGGATACCGCCCGGCTCGGAGAGGAAAACAGCCCGAGGGCGAGTGAAAACGCGTGAAAAACTCACATCACAAGTCGTACAATGCCACTTAGCATTTGAACTGTTGCATTTATTGCACGTGTAACTCATATCCTTGTTAACATCCGATTCATGAAGTGCATGACATAGCGCAAGCGTAGAGAATCTGAAAACTTCTTATTTTCTTGTCTCATATTTATAGACCAGTAACTTTTCGATTGACCAGTCAGTATGCATGTTTTTTGGTGTGCCTATCATCCGCAAAACATTTCAGGACCTCACATAGTCAGGAGTAAAGCCAAAAGACATTTTACCAATCAATAGAAACTGTTATCGATTTGTGTTGAGGGGAATGTAATTTAGTATGAATTAGAATGGGGGTAATGAATACTGGAAGGACACAATCAACTAGCATTATGATATCAGCCGATACTAATGATAGCCGATGATCTTATCATTTACATGACACTGCCAGCTAAGAGTACAAATATCATTAGCATTATTAACATCGTCTTTCCCAAAATCCCACATATAATATGAGATTAGACAACCATCAGATGTGAGGATCGGTATGACAGATTCCTGCATCTGTAGTGTGACACTGGCAAAACTAACAGAAATAATAAAGTTCTTAAGGACATTTTACCAGCCCGAAGTTGTTATCATCTTGCATCTACGTTCACATACTTGGGCGTTACGTGCTAATAACTCGTGCTAATTCGCTTAACCACATTAAGAAATCGATAAATGCAGAGTAAACTTGATCCCAGTTTCCTCAATTATCCCACCAATCACGGCATTCCTTTCTATTGTAGGTAACACATAAATTATATCACCTTTGATGTTGCGTATTTTTGTATAGGTTAGTTCACAATAACTATGACCTCACAAACATTAAATTGTATCTAACACCACTCACTTTGCCCTCCTCAACGAGCTAAACTCCCAATGTTCATCACGAGCTCTCGTTAAGAATGTATCTCTGCCGTCCATCATGTCAGATGCCATGAGCGGATCCGGGTCGACAATATCCGGCAGAGAAAGGGCTGATTGTTGCGTTACTAGTCGAATAGTGAAGAATACCTGGAAGCAAGGATGAATTATGGGCACTACTACCGGTCGTGTCGACAACAGAAATTATGAAGCTGTGTCAGGCAAAAATGCACTCCTGCAGCTCCAACACGATCTGGTGATCACTAGGAGTTCTGCAGTTTCCCCTCAAGGCAAACACTCCACTAGTTCTGATATTTTCAAAGGGTGAGCTAATTTTTGTCCTCAAGGAAGCACTTTCGTATTTTTCTCGCTGAACCAGTGAGGACGATGTTGAAAAGGTGTCATTTGAGAATAATGAGGTAAAGTGATAAATTGGAGCACTTGCCACTACTACCAATGACTAATCACTGTTTCAGTACTCCACTTAGCTATCATTGCAAGAAACCTATGAAAGACGACAACGAGGCAGAAAGCCGTGTAAATCCCAAAACAAATAACAGTAGATTCTTTTCCAGAAACATTCTCAAACTGAGAAAAATGTAACCCATAATCATCTCAGAGACTGTTTACATACTTTGGAAAGAATTGGTCAAAACTAACAGATTAGAGTGGGATTACTCGACTTAATCTTCATTGGGTGCAGCCATAAAAGAGCCTCAATTCTGCTGAGGAAATTTTGGTTGGTCGCACTTAGAAGTAAACCCTGACTTCTACATTAGACTAATTCTTGGAAGAAAATCAATGGAGAAATCAGAAAAAGGGATCATCCACTCACCTCTTTATGTTTTTCGAACTGGGAGTACAGCTTATCGGCTACCTCATTACCGGTTGAGTTTCCTTGCTTCTTTTTATTCATCTTCGAATTCTTCTTCAGATTATTCTTCTTATTTTTCGAACTGAATTTTGCACATTCAGATTTATGTTAAGGAAGTGTCATGCTGCGCTAGATTGTCCAGCAGAACATGTTGATATTCCCTTAGCAGCTCACTGCTTTATGATAGACTTCGATCGCCTACTGATATACCTACCTCTTTTTCTTGCCATTATCACCAGACTGGAATATGTCATCGTCTTCCTCGTCCGCTTCTGCGACTTCTTTACGACGCTGAGCTTCTTCATTTCCAGCCTCACTGAAAAGTAAGCGCCTAATCCACTGTGATTCTCTATCAAGCAATGCTCAAGCGTAACGTACCGAATGCAATCTTCGATCACGTTTGGCCAGAAATCGCCTTCGAAATACGGTAGACTCATTGGTGTTGTCAAGTTGTCATCGCGAGCCTAAAATTAATGTAAATGTGAATAAGGAAAAAGGAACCATTTATAACAAGAATGGGTTTCTAAGTTAGTCCCACCTGCTTGTAAATATCCTTGAACTCTACAACGGTCTTTTCGGTGACACCCTTCTCCAACATCTTTTTATACCAATCCTAAAAAAAAAACGTTGCTACGGTGACAACTTTGCAACATTACGACACATCGTAATGGAATTTTCGACAACCTACCTGCAACCTCTTCGGCTTTGGAATTTTCTGCTCTGGAGGGTGGCAGTGGAAGATATAATCATCACCTTCTGATGGAGGACACGCCCAAATATGAGCCATGGTGTATCCCAACCGTTTCACATAGCTGGAATATATGAAGTTTTAAGCAGCTGAGAAGCACTAATCTACGAGCGAGCATCACAACAATGCAGTGATCAGCACTCACTCGAGGTATCCCAATAGAATCTCGTGGTAGACATCCGTTCTCAACTCTCTCGGTTGGAAAAAGTGCACTGAATCCAAGTATGCGATGTATACCCTCCTAAAAACGCAAGTAGCATAAATCTGGTATAGTCTCTTCAACAATATCGTATCACCTCACCTTGCATTAGGCTCCTTACAGTTGCTGCCATATTCTTGAACGTGGAGTCCAAAGAAGCACACCTCTACACCATCGATGATTTCAAATGCAAACACAGCTTTTGTTCGATAATTAAATCGATCCGGAAAGCCTTGGGGACCATACCTTAATGAGTGAGACTTGATTGGTATTTGTAAAACGGAAAATTATTGTCACATTCAACAATAAGTTAACTTCTTGAAGATAGCTACTGTTCGGCTGGAGATTATGCTTTAATGCCAAAAAAGGTAAAATGTGGATTGAATTTCTGGCTTACTTGGATTTCATCAGAGGCTTCACTTCAACTTCTTTATCTTGTACACACAGAGTCCGAATAATCACTTCATACTGTTCAGGACTGTTGGACAAGGCCTTTTTCAAGAAGGTATTCACCTGCAATATTGCAAGTTTTCGACCGAAAAAAAAGGTTGCAAAATACGCAGAGAAGAAGCGCAAACTTCAGTTAGTACCAACCCGATCCTCCAAGAACTGTGACAGCTTGTTGTGCGGCAACCGTTTCGCCATGAAGCGATTCTCTGGTTTGGGATAATTCTTCTCTTTGCGGCAAGTGTCACAAATGAAGCCCTCAGGGAATACCTGAACGATTCTTCAGTATTGTCCAGAAATGAATCTGCAGCTATCACACTGGCTTAACGTGTCTATTCTCCCTTAACCGAAACGAAGCTGCAAAAGGCTTCGCAACCACGCATAAAATAGAGTAGATGTGCTAAGCTTCTCAAGTATCGAGGAAAAAAAAAGAGGGAAAAAGAGGACAATTTGGAAATGCTTGGCTATTAAGGGAATTGCTTAAAATCACAGCTAAAAACAACTTGGGAGTTGGTGATTTCGAGAGAAAGAAAACCTATGCATGGCTGGGAACTTCGTTGCCCAAAACAAGGGTCGCATTAGGCGGCACACAAACATTACGCAATATCGCGAAAACTTGCGCAATTGGTTTGTACCGAAAACTTCACGGACTGAAAAACTTCAACGATCAGTATCATCAGAATGACTCTAGAAGATTACTGTTAAACATTAGCTCATTCACCTTTTTGTCGTAAAGTGCACAAATGCGATGCCATTTCCGATGACAATATTTGCAAACTTCGAAAGGTTCATAGTCGATGACGTTGTTCTTCATTTGCACAAACTTGTCTTTAGGTGCCATGTTCGACTGATCGTTGGGATTTTCCGATAAAGAAATGCCTTCTGGTGGTAATGCATCAAAACATTTGAGACAATAAGTGTAGCGTTCGGATACAGTCACGCCGTACTGTGAAGATGTCTGCTCATACCTGAAAAGGAATGAGTTTCAGAGCAAGCGACATAACTCGATACAGCTGCACTGATCGAATCATTCTCTTAGTAAGCAAAGTTCACATTCAAATGAATATCCTTCTTTGTTCTACAACGCTACCTGTGACCCTGTATTGAGGAAACGATCACTTCCCTCCTCCCTGCGACAACTTGTGCGACATTTCCTTAGCAGGTGAACAAGACTTTCGTATCTTATCACTCTACTCATGAATGATCATCTTTCATAGTAGGGTTTTACCGAACTCAATTCAAGTTTTGCAAGTGGTTTTTCCCAAAAAAATGACGAGATTGTTCCCATCTATTCAGTTGCCCGAGTTGACGACGCAATGCTTGAGTCGCGTCCATGTGGGTCTGTATGATAAAGCGGACGACTATAATTACTCGACCTATTTTTACGCCCTTCAGAGTGAACCCTCTGAGTAGAATATCCTCCCACTCACTGGAATCTTTCTTGCCCAAAATAAACACCTTTACCTCTATGGGTCAATCATATGGGTCAATCACTATTTCTTGTTAATAGTGTTCAAAATAAAACTTACACCCAGTAAGGCTGTTCTCGCGCTATCGTACACATTGATGCACCATAGCAGAATAAAGCTAATGGAGTGAATGACAGCTTTCTCGAACAACAGTAACCCATTTGCTGCATGACTTGATCCATTTCGGTTACAAACATTTCGCTCAACTGAAAAAAGACCTTTTTGCACATTCAAAGCACAGCATAGCAAACAAAAAAAAAGTGGTAAAGGTTTAAGCATGGCAGTGAAGCGGAGTGGGGTAAACAAGAGTTTTCTCTTTCTTCAAATCAGACTTCAAAAAGCTTGGGACGCACCATTACACGCCAGTAAACTACTTATAACCCTAGTAACCTATCGCCCGACGCCTTTAACTTGAAAAAAAAGCTCTTCCCGTCTATTCTGTGGCTGCCTTGAGCAACCACAAACTCAGTTCAGAATCATTCAATCATCTTTTTGTGTGATTACGTTTCTTACTGCCCAGTAATGATAACATAACAAAATTTAGATTGTTCAATTACTTACCTTTGTGCAGTATTTATACACCTTGCTGTTCTTACGATTGTACATCCATGCATTATCAAACATCAACCACATATCATCGCAAAACTCCCATGGATTTTTGTAACGACCGTTATCCAACTTCATACAAATTGTCGACAAGTCCATAGGATGCTTTATTATCTCATTATAATCCTGAAACCATGTAACATTGCTCTGAGCAGNACAAATTTGTTGTGAAAAATTCGCCACACCCAATCTTCATGCAGGTAACTCACCGGAATGTGTAATAAGTCAGGATCAACTGGCATTCGGAAGGGAACAGCATCTTCGGAGCAGTCCATTTTTTCCCAAACCGGCCGTAAATAATGCCTGAAATGACTAACCATAAATTACCAACGGAAGGAATTTTTTCGAAAGTGCGAATTTTTAGGAGGTTGAGCTAAAGATCTCAAGCGGAGTGATGTACCTACCGCAACTCATTTGCATCGAAAATTGTGTCTTCTCCAGGAGGTGGCGTAGGCTCTCTTTTGACGATTTCCTTTTTAGGCGATGAAGTCGACTCGGTCTTTACCGTGGGTACGGATTTTGTGGCCGCACTTGAGACCGATACCGTAGGGCCTGTAGAGGGACCAGGAGCTGCTGAACAGATAGGTGTGAGTGAAAACGGTAGCACTCTCAAGTGATGATGTAAGTGAAAAGGGTAGTGTTGTCCCGCAAAACTCTGCAGCATCTCTGCGATGAGATCAAAGCAGAAATCTATGCAATATCATTACAACCTTATAAAACGGGGCCGAGACCACGTTACGGAAACTGAATTCGTAAGCATGACCCTGTATCTTTCACGAAACTTCCAAAGAGGACTATGGCAAAAAATATTAAAAGAATACATCACACCTCAGACAAGGAAAACTAGATTTATCATGGACAACATCCTATGTTATCCATTCTATTATTTAGCCGGGAGACCCCCTCCTCTCCTAAACTGGATATCATCATGTCGTGGAACACATGGCACAAGCTTGACCTGAGCACTGAAAGGCAAAGTTAGTGAACAAGGGAACGGAATCATACCTGAACAACCCTCTTCGATTTTCGCTTTCGAGTCCGTTCTTAATAAGGTCGGAGGCAGGCCATTCGTCGAGGATACACTTGTTGACGATGACAGCGGACCATTCTGTTCGCTAGAGTCCATCGACTCCATTTTCACCTGAAATATGCCAAAGTGAAATTTTCAAACAAAGTGAAGGAAGAAATAGGAACGCTGACCAAAGGTGTTCCAGCTGCAGACCCATGACTGCTATTCGGCTGTGCACTAAGTCGCTCCTGCGAACGTTGTTGTTGCATTCGCGAATCAGCTGCTGAGGCTGGGGCTGACAATGGACCACTTCCAGTAGCACCCGTCCAACCCATATTGTGTTGTTGATGTGACTGCTGGGAATGTGATGCTTGTTGCTGTTGGGTTTGCAAACCAGGTGGGAGTGGTGTTGAACCAGCTGTTCGATTCGGCGGATTTGGCATGTCCATGTCGAAATCAGGAATTGAGCCAATAGCTGAAACCACACATACACATGCTCTAAGTTGAGTAAAGAATAACTCGAAATTATCGAGTGGTATTGAACGACATACATTCTGTGAATCCGCTGTTTGGAGCCGGTTGTGCCTGACCAGTGGGTACGTTGCCTCCAGATTGTTGTTGTCCTCCTCCCCCTCCTGCTGCATTAACTGCATTATCCGCACGAAGGCGAGAGTTCTTCTTGTCTTGTAAGTCTTTTTGGATTTTGTAGATCTTTTCCGCCAATAGATGATAGTATTCTTCCTGTAAAACGTAAATTGAATTAAAGAACAAAATTGCGGAAAAACTCAATATTTCAGTTATTTCNGGCTCATGAATGTTCGACCGTTATCCATACTTTGTGGACACCAAAACTGTACAAGGGTGCTCTCCACTGCAGGAGAGCCTGGTTTCCCATTACCTTGCTTTCAGCACGACTACAAACCCTTTAAAAGCTAATTCTGTACAAGGGTAGTATCAGTAAGTCATGTCCATTTCCAGCTTTCCTACTTCGATTCCACTCTTTCGCAAATCACTCGTCATTATTATACGAAGCGTGGCCTATCAGTGTTTCATTTCGGTGCGTGTCTACTACATCTACATCTTCGGCAGCAAGCACCTCAAAGGGCGTTACGCGTCAGAGGCGCTTACTACCCTATAATTAGACGTTTTCGGCTCACCCGATCATTGGCTGATTCGAACATCTCCATTTCGACTTTTCTAGCATAGTTGATGAGGTCACGGATTCGTTGATCATGTATCGCGCTTGGATCCGGTGACGGGAATATAGCTTTCACCAACTTCCCAACAAGATGATTACGAAGATCACGAGTGACGTGTTGGTGCCACTCCTGAAATTCAGTAATTTGAGTTTCCAGAACTTCGACCGGTTAGACTTTTATGTTAACTTCTAAAACTACCTTTGCGCTCATTCTTTACTGTACGAATAAGCATACCACGGTTAGACTGGCACGTGATACACAAAAAAGTAATGATTGATAAGATAAAGATAATATTGTATTCATTTACACCGTAAACGTAAGTTAGCACGTTTGTACACGTAACTTTTCAAAATTCATCACAAGTGAGGAAATAATAGATGCCAAATATATAATATTAGATGCTAATTTGAAAGTGTTTGAGCTGCTTTTCCTATGTGACACTATAAAGTCTTAGAGCGTTGATAGATAAAAATTCATCGAGCAACCCATCAGGCACATCCTTACCTTAGCATGACTTGGAACATCAGGAGGTGGGAAGTTTATCGTTGAGAAGTCACCAGGAGCTCGAGACATCATGCCATGATGACCTCCAGGGGCCGCACCAACTGAACCGGGCCCGGCATGTTTGTTGGGTGGATTCGGCGAGCGGAACGGATCACTGAAAAATTATATTGAACGCTATGAATTCTTCGGTCAAACAATTCAAACCATACTTCATCGGTGGATTATAATCGTTCAATAATCCAGCAGCGGACATGGGGCCACTAGGGGGACCGGAAACACCAGCCCCACTTGGTGGTGCTGAGCTACCCGCAGCTGCCGCAGCCGCTGCTCCGGCATTAGTGGCCGGTGCAGGAGAGCCAAACTGTGCCATAGGATCAACTGATTGCGGGCCACCCGGTCCTACGCCTCCAGCTGATCCTGGTGCTCCGACAGATCCAGGTCCAAGGAGCTGGCTCATGTCTTGCAGTGCTAAACGGTGGTCTTTAAAAAAACTCATGAAAGAGAAAATCGGTAAAACCACATATTGATGATAAACTCTGACATAGCTCACTTCCAGCGGCGGAAGGCTGATTCTGGATACTTTTCAATGGTTTACATACGGGACAGTCATCTCGGTTGCAGTTCTTCCAGTGAGCTATAATCTGCCGCGACGAAGCGCAATGTGCATCTGAATGTACAGTATGACTTCCATTATCGACTCAACACACACAAAAAAATAAATCGACTGTAAAATTTACAGGTGCATTGCCGTCCGTTGTGGCATATGGTCATGTGTTGCAGAACTTCTTTCATTGTACTACAATGCGGTAGATTGCACGGTGTTCGCCCGTTGGCAGCTTCAGCGGGATTCTGAAGCAGTGAAACAATAAGATTCACGAGTCTACTCCTTTGCTTCTATTCACGTATCCAAATTTAAAAATTTATGTGTTACTAGATGTTTTATGAGAAGTTAGTCCTCAACGAGTACTTCCCATTTACGCCTACTTCAACCTAAATGTGGTACTTCTCCAATACCAGCGGTCCAACGTGACGAATGCCCCAAAATCGCGTCATATAACTCGTTGAGAATGTTAAAAGCCCACGACTATATCTTGTAATGCTTTAAATTTCAGATATATTCAAACTTGATCCAAGGAAAACAATTACGTAGTAGAGCGTAGGGTGTAGAAATTCCTGTATTCATTAAGCTACACTGCAAAAAAAAAACTTCGACCAACTAAAAATTACGCTATGCAGTGGTAATCAAAGGAAGTAAAATCCAAATAAGTAGAATGAAGAAGTCGACTCGGTACATCAAAAGCTGTTAATACCTCCTGCTTCAGGAAGCAGCATTGACTTCCTCGGATTACAAATATGAAAAATTGAGTAGAAGTTAAAGCAGTAGGAAAAGTCCCTATCCCCACCACAGCAACTAGCACCAAATTACACCACGTCTGAGCATAGGGAGATCGGATTCAGGACTGAGAATCTTTAGTCATCCTTTTGGGACCCGTGAACAACAAGGAGCCTTATTCATCCTCTGGGACCCCAAACGCCTACATTCAAAAAAAAAAAAACGAATTCGAAGTCTGGGCATGAGGTAGAAATGATTTCACCGTCAGCGAACAGAATTCATCATGTCAAAGAGCAACCTGTTAAAACATGTATATTCCCACAGCGTCACATATAAAAGCGCCAACACAGAAATAGATTTCGCTGCTGGACATTTCATCAACCTATCCCGCTCCACCATAAAGAGATAGGTCGTTCAGCCCTTTTGTTTTGTTTTCTATTGCTAGCTTGCTACTTTCCTTACTTTCAACAAACTCCATCAATTTTTCTACTTTTCCTCAAGCGGATGACTCGCATAACACTAAACTTTCATTAATTCCCGAATTATTTGCAACCATTATTTATACCTTTGGGACCTAAGAACAACGTCTGAATAGAAAGAATGACTACATCCTTAACGCAAAAGTTTACGACATTCTCGAGTGATTTACATCTATTTAAGATGCAGAGGCAGTTGAAGGCCAAATGTAGGATTAGTTCACTCTTATGCATGAGAACGTAATGCTTACGAGCAAGACATAAAGCCTCAGGATGGGAAGAAAAGCTACATTGACCTTGGAAATGGAGAAGCTATACTGCCAGTTGCAATAACTTCTTAACCATTTGGGAACATTTTGCTAAGCCCTTCTAGTGCCTTCATTGACTAGAAACCATTGAACTATGAAGTTAGTGAACCCACTCTCTCTCGTTGCTGGCATTTGTGTGCATGCAGAAGCAGGACTAGTTGTTGCTGAATTAGCTTCCGCTTCTCGGGATCTTGAGTGCCCGGTGTCAATGGCGTGCCTCCGGTCCGTTGAGGTGGCTGCGAGACTGGTGCTCCTTGCATGGTATGTGGGTGTTGTTGCCCAGAAGGTGGTCCACCGTTCGGCATCTGCATCATTCCCTAAGATGTCAACATTCAATCACCTTTTCTAATCTGAGTGCCCATCCAAGAAACCTTATAAACCTGCGGTGGCTGCGATGGAGCAGTTGCACCCGGAGGACGGTTGCTCATTTGATGTGGACCATTTGACTGCGACGGGTCCATCATCATCATCTGAATTGGTGGTTGTGGGTTTGCAACAGACGTAGATTAAGTGAAAACGTTTACCGGTGGCCCTTGCGGAGGACCAGGATGCCCAGGCATCATTCCCGGATAAGGTTGTCGGTTCATAAAGCCCTGTAATGTAGACCTTTGCATTTTGGTGAATTGTTTAATACTAATGATGAGAAACTGCTCAAAAAAGCTTATCGAAAGAAAGGAGTAATTGTCTATTTCCTACCTGAGGTGGTGGTCCACCCATGAACTGCTCCGGTCGTTGACCTTGAAACGGTGCATTCGGGTTGAAAGGTTGCTCCATCATGCCTGGAGGTCGCATCATACCTGGCATCATTTGAGGCATACCTGTGAAAACAGAAATTTGCAGAGATAAGAGCAAAGGTTCATATTTCCTAAGAAGATTTCTCAACAGTTCCGAAACACTACCTGGCCGACCAGGAGGTGCCATCTGTGGTGGCCGTTGCATATGCGCTCCATTCATCATACCACCCCTTGGAATGGCTTGGCCTCGTCCCTGTCCAGGATATGGTATCTAAATTGAGGGTTTACATATACTATCTCCAATAAAAGAGTTATCTGGAGAACTCGAAAGCCTGTATATAAGGAGTAAAATATAGCTTAAGGGAGGCTCACTTGATTGGGAGCACCCTGCGGCGCATACTGGCCAGGGTAACCACGCATTTGGCCTTGAGGTCCACCAGTCATCATGGGCTGACCGTATTGCGCTTGCTGAGGCAATTGCATGCCGTCGTACATCACCGGAGGTCCCTGACCTAAAATAAGAAAAAGTGTAAATGATAAGTTCATCTTTGCAATTTTTTCAACATCAAAGTACATACCTGGTGCTCTCATAGGTCCCCCAGGAGGCCCTCCGGGAGGTCCACCAGGAGAGGGTCCA